CTCTCAGACTGAAGAAGTCTCTTGGAGGAGAGACGAAACGTTTCATTAGAGAAGAACCCGTCCAGAGGACATATACAGTTTTTTTCTTTTTGATTACTGCAAACATTACTGTAAACATTACTGCAAACGTTTCTGAAAATCAGAATTACCACTTCTGGACGTTTTTCATTTAGGAACTCACAAAATATATCAAACATTTAAAACAGTTTAAACCCACAAAGTCATGAATCTGACCTGAATCCACAGAAATATGACTCTGTTGTGTTTTCTGGATGTAAGGAGCGTCTGAACACGCTGTTAGATTTTTATTTTAGTTTGAGTTTATTGTTTAATCATGAAACTGAACCCCGGGACTGAAAATCATTTAACCTCAGACAAGAAAATAGATCAGTCTAATAATGATCAAAAGAACCTCAATCCAGTCTGTAAACTGTTTTTATTTTGTTGTCATGTAGTTGGAAACACACGCAGAGCGCAGGCCTGCGGAGCGCACACACAGCTGAGGAGAATAAAATGTGTGAATTGACTAAGAAACATTTTAATTCTCACTGAGAAAAAAAACTTTGTCAACTCAGCAGATTAATATAGAACAGCTCAGCTGTGATGATTCCTCAGCTCCATAAGATGCAGACAATAGATTTGTTGCTGCGTAAAGTTGTGCGTAATTTAATGATCAATGTCAGCTGTTCTGCAGGATGATATCAGCACAAGAAGAATAAATGTTCATTTATTTATTTATTTATTTATATCACACAGAACAAATTACAATCAGGTATTTTACTGTAGTTCTGAGTCGAGCCATGCAGCTGAATGAGAGACTTCATGATTCTAAAATATAAATCACACCGCAGCAGAAACTCTGCGAGTCATTTCTTCACTTCAACTATTTAATAAATATTTGTCTAAGTTCTACCAAACTCTTCAGTTCCTCTGTGTTTACAGTCAGACGTGTAAAGGTGGAAATATTACTCAGCCTCATGCGCCGCTGCAGCACACACGCATACACACCAACACCCACACACACCTTTGTGTGTGGCAAACACATTTTTACACAACACTACTTATTTAGACAGTTTTCTCACTCATTCTCCGTTTAATGTATAATTTTCCTGCATCTAAAAATCATTTCTGATCCTACAGAGAGGACAATCTGAGGAGAATCTCACACGCTGGACACATTTAAATCTATTTTACAGATTTAAATGGAGGCGTGTCAGGGGAGGAGTCTCAGTCCCACGTTCATTGGGATGTATAAACCTGCATGCAGGAACCTGCGTGCACACTGTTTTATACATCTGAGTTTTTTGATGCGGCGCACTTTTCTAAATTTTGTCCGTACACCAACTTTTTGTGTGAAAGCTGCGCAATCCTTTATGCATGAGGGCCCAGGTGAGGATAAAAACATTCTGAAACATTAGGCCAATGATGATGAGAAAAGATAGATTTAATCTGATTTACTCTCAGATCTTTTATTTAAATCAAAATGACTTCATTCTAATGTCACATGGTTTTTGGTTCAGAGAATTTCCAGATTTTCAGTCTGTTTCTTTCAGCAGACCTTGAAGAGCAGCACAGGGAAAAAATCCAACGAAAGATGACAACTGGAATAAACCAGACGACACGGAGGTTGACAGAGGCAGCAAGGTAGGTGCTACAATGATAGCAGCTATATTCAAGCAAAGTCAGTGCTGCTATGCTGGAGCTGTAGGTTGACAAAAGTCCAAATCCCGAATTAGGGAATGCTAATTAAGTTGTCCATGTGGGTACTGGTTGACAAACCATTGAACAAAGTAATTCCAGATAAATGTCCAACAATATGGCAGTATTAAAGCATCATTTAGCGCTGAGAAGCAGCGAACATACAGCGCAAGCGTCCTCTCTTGGTTTGGATGGGATCTAGTTAGGACGCCTCCTGGACTCCTCCCTGGTGAGGTGTTCTGGGCACGTCCCACTGGGAGGAGACCCAGAGGAAGACCCAGGACACACTGGAGGGACTATGTTTCTCAGCTGGCCTGGGAACACCTTGGGATTCCCCCAGAGGAGCTGGTCCAAGTGGCTGGGGAGAGGGAAGTCTGGGTCTCCTGGATAAGAGGAAGAAAACAGACGGACAAAATCACTTTTGAACTTTGCCACACAGATGGGCAGCAAAATGGTACTGAACTTATAGAGCGTTTTTCAAGTCCCTCCGGACCCCAAAGCGCTTTACACTAACAGATATTCACCCATTCACACACACATTCACACACTGATGATGGCAAACTACACTGTAGCCACAGCTGCCCTGGAGCACACTGACAGAGGTGGGGCTGCCATGCACCGGCGCCACCGGACCCTCTGACCACCATCAGTAGGCAAGGTGGGTGAAGTGTCTTGCCCAAGGACACAATGACTGAAACGGCTGGATGGGGGATTGAACCAGTGACCTTCCGGTTCCAGGACGACTCCCCTAACCACTCCGCCCCAGCCGCCCCAGCCGCCCCATTGCTGTTTCCCACCACCAGGTGTTGTCTTTACACACAACAAGCAGACCAAAGTCCTGCTTTAGTTTTTGGRAGATGATCATTAATTGGCCCCTGCTCTGATTTTAAATGGTTTGAATGTAATGTTCTGATGAATTTTGTGGAATATTAAAGAGAAAAACTCTTTCCAAACCCTTCCACCACGTGTCACATCTCCAAACAGTTCTTAACTTTATTTAAACAGAAAATCAAACTTTGATTTAAAATCACTTARAGAAATATTAAAGTAAATAAAAGAAGCGGATCAGTTACTAGTTGAGTACAGAAGCAAACTTTTCACAGCAACACAACTAAAAACATCAGAATCCTCAAACATAAACTAAAACAGAACATTCCAGATGTAAATCAGAACCTTTTAAAGATATTTATTCTCAACATTTACACAAATCACCATCTTCTGTTTCCTCAGTGACAGAAGCTTCAGTACAGAGACTGATGGAGCAGAAATTTCACTCATCAACAGCTCCAACTTACAAAGTGTTGCTTTGATTTGTTGTTGGCTAACGCACATCTTTATAAAACAGCAGRAGGAACAGAATGAGACAATAAAAGAATCCACACAGGATTACTCCTCTTTAATCTGCTGAACAATGTGAAACCTGAACTGTCTTGCACCTGGAAGCACAGCACTGATGAACTGGGTTAATGAAACGAGGGTGTCTCGTCTGTACGGAGGGAGCAGCTGTCTGAAGCATCATCACTGATTCTTCATCTGAATGTGAAATACAGATTCTGCTCTACTCGGTGCTGGAGACTCGTCTCTGCAGCCGTCAGCATCGTGCTTTTTCTCCTGTCCAGACCTGGTCTGAAAAAACATCAGCTTTTAGAAGAACTGCAGGAAGCTTTCCTACTGAATGCACTGCATGATGCGTACAGCACCTTGAAGTAGAAGTAGAGGAGCAGGATTGATCCCAGCAGACCCAGCAGGACCCCCATTAGTCTGATGGTCATATCAGTCAGATACCCTGAAACTGAATTAAATGCACAACTCATCAGGTTGCAGGTAAATTAGTTAGGATATGAAACAAATACTGTAAAATGTTCTTCATCTTTTACCTGAACACACCACCTCAAGGCTGTCGTCATGTTCATAATTAGAAAAATATAAACAATCTCTGAGGGTAGATTTTCTTTGCAGGCAGTGAGGCTCGATGCACCACACAGGTCTGTCTGAAGATGTCTTTAATCTTCTTGTTGAAACAACAGAACCACAGCCCAGCTGAGCACAAACTGCAGCAGCTGACTTCTGGTTCCAGTCTTCTGTGAGGTCAGCCACTGGTCTCCACTGTTTGTGGTGAAACGTCTCCAGAGTCCCAGCACAGTGGCTGGCCCCTCCCACTAACCTGATCCCATCTGAGCAGAGACAGAATAATAATCACTAAATGGAACTGAAGCAGTTACAGAATCAAATCTGCAGCTCCTCCTRTACCTGAACAGGTYAGTCCAACAGCTTGTCCAGGTGAGCAGCTGCTTCTACCTGAACCTGRTCTACAGTCCAGGAGAGCAGACTCGGTGCCTTCACACTGGAACTCTCTGCTCCATGTTGGAGCCTCTGGTTCTCCATAGAGCYCCCCCTGGAGGACTGAAGGAGGACCACAGTCCAGCTCCCRGCAGACCACCTCTGCATCCTGCTGGTCAAAGTCAGCTTSACACACTGAGGACCAGGACTGGTTCAAGTTCACCTCCAGTCTACCTGAGCACAGGTTAGACCCACTAACCAGTCTGACTGAGTCTGGACAGAGAGAGGAAGAGGAGGGTCAGACTCCTGCAACGGTTTCTTTATGAAGACAAGGTTTGTTTGAACAAGAACAAATGTTGTGAAATATCTCTTGGTTTGTTAGTTGTGTCCTGTCCTCTGCACATCAAAACAAAGTTCAAACCAACTGACTTGTTTGTTACTTTAAGTGTTCTAACTGGACCTGTGAATTCTGTTTTATCAAAGCCTTTAGCCTCCCTCTCTGCTACACTGTGTTTYATTCAGTTACAGCTGACAGAGTTCAGGAAATGATTCAGCAACAAAGGACAAATGGTTTTACCTGAGCAGGTAACCTCTGTGGAATCAGAGGAGTATCTGGTCCATGTCACACATTTTGTTAGAGAAGATCCAAGACAGTCTTCATTCAGTCTCCAGAGTTCTGTTACTGAACTCAAATCTTTGGTTCTGATTGAAAGAGGAGAGCCACAGTCGAGCTGTTTGCACATTTCACCTGCYAAACTCAGGGTCAAAAACCTAAGATTTACTCCTTTCCATTCCTCCCTGTGTTTTATCTCCAGTCTGCCGTTACACCGACTGTCTTTTCCAACCAACCTGATGGAGTCAACAGGTTCTGGAGAGAAAAAAAAACACCAAAGGTTTTAATCAGACCAAATGTCTTTCAAAGCATCCTTTATCTACCACTTGTACTATTGTCGAGTCGCAGGGGAGCAGCTTGGCCTCTTTCCCCAGCCTCTTTTCCAGATCTTCTGGGAGGATTCTAGGAAGTTTCCAGGCCAGACAAGAGACAGTCTTTCCAGCATGTCCTACCTTTTTTCTGGGTCTCCTCCCAGCTGGATATGCCTTGAAGCATCTCCCAAGAGAGGTGTCCAGGCGGCATCCTTACTAGATGAACCATCTCAATTGGCTCCTCTGGATGTGGAGGAGCAGCAACTCTACTCTGAGTCTCTCCCAGATAACTGAACTTCTCACCCTATCTGTAAGGGAGAGTCCAGCTACCCTGCGAAGGAAACTCATTCCGACCACTTGTATCCACGATCTTGAATCTTCCAGTCACCAAAGTTCCTWCCCTCACCATAGGTGGGTATAGTCATGTGAGTATAGTCTTTGCCTTACAGCTCAACTTGCCTCTTCACCACAACAGACTATTACAGAGTCCGCAAAACTGTCAGTCTCACTCCATTCTTCCCTCACTCGTGATCAAGAAACTTGAACTCCTCCACTTGAGGTAGAACTTCACCCCCAACCTGGAGAGATCAATCCGCCCTTTTCTGACTGAGGACCATGGACTCAGGTTTGGAGGTGATGATCCTCATCCCAGCTGTGAACCACACCAGTGAGAGTTGGATACCATGGCATGATGACGCCAACAGAACCACATCATCTGCAAACAGTAGAGAGGAAATCCTGAGGCCACCGAACCGGACTCCCTCTGCCCCCTGGCTGCACCGAGAAATTCTGTCCARGTAAGTTAGGAACAGAATTTGTGACAACGGGCAGCCTTGGAGTCCAACTCCCACTGTGAAGGGGTCCGACTTACTGTCGGCAATATGAACCAAACTCTCTTGTATAAAAACTGAATGGCCTGTAACAATGGACCCAGAATCCCATACTCGCGTAGCAGCCCCCACAGTGTACCTTGAAGAACATGGTCGAAAGCCTCCTCCGTGTCTCAAAACACATGTAGACTGGATTAGCAAACTCCCATGACCCCTGAGGACCCTAATGAGGGTAAAAAGTTGGTCCAGTGTTGCACAGCCAGGACAGAACCTGCATTGTTCCACCAGAATCTGAGGTTTGACTATCGATCAGACTCTCTTCTCCAGTACCCTTGAAAAGACCTTACCTGGAGGCTAAGGAGAGTGATGCCCCTGTAAMTGGASCACACCCTCCGGTCTCCCTTTTCAAAGAGAGGAACCACCACCTTAGTCTGCCAATCCAGTGGCACTGCCCCTGATGTCCATGTGATGTTGCAAAGGCGTGTCAACCAGGACAGACCCACAACATCCAGAGCCTTGAGGAAATCAGGGCAGATCTCATCCACCCCTGGWGCCCTGCRGCCATGGAGCTTTTTACCTCAGAGACCTCATCTCCAGTTATGGACAGACCAACCCTGAAGTCCTCAGACTCTGCTTCCTCCATAGAAGATGTACCYGMYGGATTGAGAATGTTTGAGAAGTATTCCTTCCACCTCCTGATGACATCACTGGTTGAGGTCAACAGCACCCCACCTTCACTGAGCACAGTGTTAGTGAAGTGCTGCTTCCCCCACCTCAGCCACAGAATGGTTTGCTATAATATCCTTGGCAGCTGTCTGGACAATTGAGGCACTGATCATGGCCCACTCGGACTCGATGTTTCTCACCTCAGCTGGGARGTGGTTGAAGTTCTCCCGGAGGTGTGAGTTAAAGCTCTGTCTGACGTGTTCCRCTGCCAGGCTTTCCCAGCAAATTTTCACTACACGCTTGAGTCTGTCCGGCATCTCCCTCTGCCATCTGATTCAACTCACTACCAGATAATGATCAGTTGACAGCTCAGCTCCTCTCTTCACCCGATTGTCCAAAACATACTGCCACAGCTCAGATGATACGACTACAAAGTCAATCATCGATCTGCGACCTAGAGTGTCCTAGTGCCACATGCACTTATAGACACTCTTATGTTTGAACATGGTGTTCATGATAGTCAAACTGTGACTAGCACAGAAGTCCAACAACAGAACACTGCTCAGGTTCAGATCTGAGAGGCTGTTCCTCCCAGTCACGCCTCTCCAGGTCACACTGTCATTACCCATGTGAGCTTTAACAACCCCCAGCAGYAGCACTTTCCAGCTCCCCCGCTAAGCACTCAAAGAAGGCTCTGAACAGCCATTCAATGCATAGACACAAAAACTATCCCACCCACCCCCACCCAAAGACACCCAGTCGGTGGGCCAAAAGTAGACTCACACCGGCTTGGCACCTCACACCATGGAAAACTCCAGAGAAGAATAAGGTTCAGTCCCCCTCGAGGAGATTGGTTCTGGAGCACATGATGTGCACTAAGGTGAGCCAAACAATATCCAGGCCAGAGGTGGGCAATCCTAGTCCTAGAAGGCCACAGCCCTGCATGTGTGTGTTAGAACAGAAAAACGTATCTGCTCTACAACACCTGATTTGAATAAATGGGTGATTAACAGGCTTCTGCAGAACTTGGACGAGGTTATAAAATAACTGAATCAAGTGTGTTGGAGCAGGGATAAAAGTAAAACATGTAGGGCTGTGGCCCTCGAGCACCAGGGCTGCCCACCCCTGGTCAAGCGATACCTCTCAACCTCATGCACAAGRTCAGACTCACGTTCCAGGTCCCAAGAGTCAGTTTTATTGAGCCAGACTCAGAGTGGCAAGGTCCCTGCCTTTGGCTACTGCCCGTGGCATCATGTACCCGACTCGAATGGRCTCTCCTGCAGGTGGTGGGCCCACAGGAAGTTTTTTTGTACCACTTTAATATCTTGTTAAATATAACAGGTAATTTTCTTTAAAAAAAACACACACTGAGATGACATCTACTCCTACTTTGAATAACTCTTTACCTGAACAGACGAGTCCAACAGCGTTACCAGAATAATTTGTAACAGAACTGCCACAGTCCAAAAGTGCAGCTTCGTTGCCCTTACAGTGGAACTCTCTGCTCCATGTTGGAGCCTCTGGTTCTCCATAGAGCGCCCCCTGGAGGGCTGAAGGAGGACCACAGCCCAGCTCCCTGCAGACCACCTCTGCATCCTGCTGGTCAAAACCATCTTCACTCAATGAGGACCAGGACTGGTTCGACTGGTCAGACCTGACCTCCAGTCTGCCTGAGCACAGACCAGTCCCATTCACCAGTCTGACTGAGTCTGGACAGAGAGAGGAGAGGAGAATCAGACACCTTCAACATTTTCTCAGATCTATGGGGAGGAAAAGTTTATATGAACAGAAACAAATGAAAAATGTTGTTGTGAAATATTTATTGGATTGATTTGATGTGTTCTGCACCACCTGTCCTCTGCACATAAAAACAATCAAAGTTCAAACTGATCAACCTGTTCATGTTGTTGCTTTCAGGGGTCTTTAACAACCAACTGGACCTGTGAAGCAACTGCAGAACTCAGAACCTCTTCCACTGACAGTCGACCTCAGTTACAAACCAACAAAACCCTCAGCCTCCCACTCTTCTACACTGTGTTTGATTCAGTTACATCTGACAGAGTTCAGGGAACGATTCAAGGAAGAAGGACAAATGGATTTACCTGAGCAGGTTACCTCTGTGGAATCAGAGGAGAGTGCGATCCCTATCACACATTGTGTCAGAGAAGATCCATCACAGTCTCTATACAGTCTCCAGACTTCTGTTATTGAACTCAAACTATTATATCTAAGTGAAACAGAAGGGCCACAGTCCAGTTGTTTACACACTTCATCTGCAAAACTCTGAGTCCATAAACCTGACACTCCTTTCCATTCCTCCCTGTGTTTTATCTCCAGTCTGCCGTTACACCGACTGCCTCTTCCAACCAGCCTGATGGAGTCAACAGGTTCTGGAGAAAAAACAAAAATGTTCTTTATCACGTTCAATGAATCAGTTCAAACAATTTAGTGATCATGTCTTGATACATCTCAGAAATCCAGGTAGAAAAATCAAAAAGAAAAATAATTAAGTCCTCTAGATTGGTTCTTCTTTAGTGAAAAGTTTTGTCACTTCTTCAGTCTGATGAGTTCCAGGTGAACTCAGTCTTATAAGCTCCGCCTCCACYTGGGGGACAAACAGGTTGGTCACATGCAAAAAAGGACCATCAGCCAAACTATAGGTCCTTAGTGCCTCGATTGGCTCTATTGTTCATAGAGGGCCATGTGCCCCATCACCTGACTATCCTTGGGGCCCTGATTCAAACCTTTTACTCACAGGGGGCGGAGTCATACTTGCAATAACAGCGTTGTAGGAGGAGGACAACTGGAAACGAAGGCCTCCACCTCTGTTTAATGGTGGACGTTTTTTCTTCACAAAAATGGATTCCTTTACTCCTCTCTCAAACGAACGTTCCTCTCTATCAAGAATGAGAACATCTTCATCCCTGAAAGAGTGGCCGCTGGTTTGTAGATAAGTATAAACTGCAGAGTCCTGGCCTGTGGATGAGTGTAAACTGTAGAGTCCTGACCTGTGGATGAGTGTAAACTGTAGAGTCCTGACCT